AGTGTTAGGTTAGCGGTTGGACTCAATCTTAAAGGTCCTTTCCAACTTAAATGATTCTGTAAACAAACAGTTATAAAAATAAGATGCAGAGAACCTGCTTTCCTCTTCTATCACACTGCACTGAATCAGAAGAATGTATAAAATAATTTTATATACATTAAAACACAAGAAGATGATCTTTAAAATTTAAGCTTTACAAGTTTCTATGATGTGAAAGGCAGCAATAGCTGTGCCAGGCAAGCCCCAAGTAGGGAGGCAGGACCCACTGCTATGCATTTAAGCAAAGGAGGACAAAGATGGCGGAGAGATCAGCAAATCCTACTATGGCGTAGTTTTCAAAGAAATTAGATCTTTTTACAAGATATGAGAAGCAGCACATAAATGAATATTCTGTACATACTTTAAAAATAAATTTAAAAAAAACAACCCTCTTCCCTCACTCCAGAAATGCACTGTACATCTGGCTCTCCAGGCTCTACCAAATCAAAGTCCTTGAATAGGTAAAAACCCCCCTTTTGCTTCCACTGAGCTTTATATCAGCCAAGTTCAAGGCTGCCAAATTACACCACATGATCTAGGTAAGCTAGCCTTATGTCTGTATTTTATGTTCATACAGCTGCTCTTGAAATGAAAGCGTCAATTTTGGACAAAACAATGTGCTTGAAGCCACATAGCAATCATAACAGCCCTCTGGATGCACTTACTGCATAGCATCTCCACCTACTCAAAAATGTAATCTCATCCTGAATTACATCAGCAATCCATAAAAAGGAAACCACTTAAATTTTTTTCTGTAACAGGCATTATTTCTACTTACAATATACTACAGATAAAGATACAATTTGGGAGAAATGACTGAGAATACAGTATTACAGAAAAAAAAGTTCTAGAAATTCCATGTCAGACTGAATGTGCTAATCTTATCAAACATAACCAGATCTAGAACTGCTATAGCTTCTTAATATTTGTGTGTGTGGGGGGGGCGGGGTGGGGTGGGTAGAAGTCACATGCAAATTTGTAAATAGGTACCAGCTAAGATGTAATGATGAAATAATTAGCAGTTTCCCTGTAGTAAAGCAACATCATACATTCGATATTTTTCATATACAAACAGTACTTTCAGTGAGACAAAGGATAAAAAATATCAATTAAAACCTCTCCCTGCTAAACAAGTTAAGCTCTCACATGTAAAACTTTCTACCATAAAATAAATCTCATGAATGCTGAAAGCTCTGAGTCAAAAATGTTTCTGACCTCTTCAAAACAAAGGATAAAATAGGATTCAAATGACAATACTTATATTTGATGTCTACAAATACTTTTGAGTGTTAAACTGGCAAGGCCACCAAAATAAACTTCCCCACACTATTCTACGCCCCAGAAGCATTTAGATGAAAGAGAAGCTAGTATCATCACTTTCAGCTGCAGTGCTGGCTTGAAATGTTTGTAACACTATGACAATAGACAGGCCAAATTGGCCAGCTCATGTGTGTAGACATTTCATAATCATTTCAGTTTAAATAATACTACTGTGAGTTAAATGAGCTTTAAATATTGTGCTTCTGAAAAATATGCATATAATATTAGAGAAAAATATTTGTTCATCATTTTATCACTCAGCACTAGTTCTTTTTAATAGGATGGACTCCAATGGTGCAGGTTGTAATCCCTAACCAGCAAACTACACCTTGTGTTTGTTCTCTGAACGATTTACTTTCTTTCACAGAGTACAGACATACACACATGCTTCAAGGTTACTGTAGAACACCTTATTGTACCTTAAAAGGATTATTAAATCTTAGCACAACTACTCACTAGGATACCTACAATTCTCCAGTTCCTTTTAATATAATTCTTGAATGTTACAGATGCACAAACTTTGATGACATTTTCCTGTGATTTTTCCAGCAGTGTTAAGAGTAACAGTGGGTAATTCTGGCTTCCTTCGACTGATTCAAGAAACTTTTCCGCTGTAAGAGAACAAGGTTAGCAAAAGGTTATTAAGGTTAGCAAAAGCTAAACTGACTTTTTCCTAATGGGAGTCCTTTGATTCCTCAAGTGTCTATTTAAACACAACACATGAACACTTCCCCAGAGTTTCACAAGAACAGAAACAGACCAAGTCTGACAAAAGGTACTTTATTTATGACTTCTTTACTACTAAGCTTTTTGATGCTTCTGCTATTAACAAAAGCTCTCAATTCAGAGCAGGATGTGGAAATATTGCCTCCTCACCATTTTTAAAAGCCATAACCTGCTAGAAGTAAATTCTGGTTTATTGTGAACAGCAGCACTGTTTTAAATAACAACAGTAAAAAAAGAGTAAATCAGGAATACTGGAAAATAAAATTACAAAAAGGAAACAAAATAAATTTTTATTTATATCCATCCTTCATTAGTGGGCTGGTGTTTTCTTTGTTTGTTTCTTCTGTTTTAAAAGGATACTGACAACTTCTGCAAAGAGGTTATTGCATAAACATCCACTGAATTTTGCTATACACAGATGGAAGAGCCAAAAAGAAAGTAAACTTTTTTGGTCACTCATGAGAATCACTTACCAGGACGTCTTACAGCAGGATCTGGATCTAGTGTTTTCTTTAGATACTCAGTTAAAGTCTGTAAATTGGCATCACTCAGCTCCATTTTGGTAGAACCTAAAAACCCGCAATTAATTAGTTTTGTTATAGTTTTTCTGATCTGCATTTATAAACTACACATATGTAAAACTACCTTCCACAGAAGACACACATCAGCTCTTTTTGACTATACCTCAAAGAATGGCTCTATCTTCTATGTCTCATCCAATAAAACAACAGCTAATGGATATCAAGCACAAACCAGAAAACATTCTGTTTCTTCAACTCTATGAAACTGTTACTGTCCAGCTTACTGAAACCAAACTCCTAGAACAGGATCAGTAAATCATGAACCAGGTACAGCCAAAAAATTATCTCTTGCCTTTTCAAGACAACAGGAGCTTGGTTTTGCTTTTGAGAACTACCATCATCTCCAGAAACTTGTTCCTGGTTGAGAAAGCTGAATAGTCCTGCCCTACGTAATCGTAAATAGAACAATTCGAAGTGTATTGTAGAGTCAAGGCATGTTTAAAATTAAATAGTCATTATCAAAGAAAACTCGCATCAGAAAATTAATTTTTTATAAAGAAACGAAAGAGTGTGCAAAACCAGAGGGTCTGTGCACCCTGTAAAATTAATTTAGATTAGGGTGAGAGTTAATTTAAGATGCAATGCTTATTACAGAATAGCTCTTTGCAATAGTCCAAATTACTCCTCTCTAGTAATCCTCCCACACACATTCTCATACTTACCACAGTGATATATTAACTTCACAGCTTTAATTGGAATAATTAAAATTACAGTAACTAAAACAGCAGTAAGACATACTTTAATGGACATGTTTTTACTCAGGATATCATCATCAATTCTGCCCATCTTTCTTACCACCAGCAGCACAGTTCACTCACTACAGAACTAATGAGGAAACAAAGACTTCAATTTTTTCTATGGAGTTTTTAACTAGTAAGATAGACTGAAATTTGTCCATCTCCCACTTAGGCTTTGCTTTATGTTAATTATCAATACAATAAAAATATTTAACCATGTTTGCAAAGACAGTATGTTTTAATGACGCAATTTTTAATTTAACATTAAAAGAGACAGCAACTGTATTATCTTGAATTAAATGAATGTTAACGAGTAATCGAGATACCAAAATATTTTGCAAAAAGTAAAAGTCCACCCAGAAAGTCTTGCCTCATGTGTTTCACACCCCTCCCCTTTTGGGGGTTTATTGGTGTTTTGTTGATTGATGTGAATTGGTGAACAAGATAAATAAAGTACAGCATAAGCAAACAGCATCAATAATAGCTGGCTCGTCTGTTCTACAAAACGGCCTCATGCATCACTATTTGTTGTTGAAACTAATACTTAAATCTTTCATAATTAAAAAAAATATAAATGACGTGCTCCAGGGAAGGCTGAGGTGCAAACCCATGCAGAAATCGTTAATGAAGACTAAACGAGTCAAATGGGAAACCAAACTGAAAGAAGATGACAATCCTGAAGAGCCTTTTACAAATACCTCACAAACATATGCAATGTAGTGGCCCATGGAAAAAACATACACCTCAAGTTGACTGTGAGTTTTCTTTGAAGGCCAAATGCTAAGATTTTAATCTATTATTCACTCCATCATACAAAAGGATATTTTCACCTGCTACTGACTTATTCTTATTTCCTTCTTATTTCTTATTTCCTTCATTTTTGTTTGTTTTCTACTGCAAAAAACCTGGTGGTACTTGCTAGCGCGATATGACACTTTTTGCTATGTTGTGAGACATCCTTCCTGAAAAGGCCACAGAAAATGAAAACATTTCCAGACCACCTCTCCAGAAGAAAACCCATAAAATGTACTTAATGCATTAACTACTTCAGTCACATTAAAGACAGATCGCTTGGGGAGGGAAAAAAAAAAACAAACCGGCTGTCCTACCAAGCCTTGCACAGCAAAAAACTTCAGAGAAGCCTGTTACGGCAGTCACTCACCACAGCACTTACCAAATACCACCTACACGCCCAAGGATGTTTATGGTCCATATTTTAGGAGAAAGACTATCTTTAGAGCATACGGAGATCTTTATACCCACTTTCCACTTCACCAACCCCAGGAGTTGGGAGAGAAGCACCAGCTGGGCACGGGAGCAGGAGCAAGGCCCCATCACATCCCCGCGACCGCCCGCTCACGCCGCTTCCCCACAGGACCACCAGGCGAGGCCACCCGCAACGC